TACTTTTTAACCATGTATGATTTCTTTCCCTCAGCACTCAAAACAAATAATATATTAATAAAATAATATTTTAATTATTATCAATTAAATAATAATACATTAATATTCAAGAGCTAGGTAGGATTAGTCAATCCAAAGGGAGAGCAAGGGTTAACAAACCCCAAGGTGATAAGGAAAATTTAAGAAGCTCTGAGTTTTTGGGAAAATCGATTTTGGGTAAGGTTTAACAAATTTTGATGGCCAAGGAGAAGAAGAAATTTATTCAAAATCGAAGTCATGAAATTTAGGAAGAAAAGAAAAAGCTTTGAGAAGGAGATGACATCAATTAGTGACTAGACCATATCACACTTGAACATCTTAGTGGAAGATAGTATGAGCGTTGCAAACATGAAAACTGCACACATTACATTACGTGTTGTTGAGCATTACTAATGTGAGTCTATTTTGCTAATACTGGATAATCACGTATCTCACCTTGAGACCATTATCATCCACAAGGTATGAAGCAACTTTAAATATGTCGAAGACAACATCGATCAGCTGGAGTCTAATAGCGATGAGCTTTACTAGAAATGGTACAACATAGTGAACAACTTAATTCGCTGTGATGTGGTGCTAGATGAATTGATGGCAGCAATGCAATAACAACAATGGCAATTGATGGAGGTTGTCAGATGTCTTGAACAGAGAATTGCTCATATAACTGACAAATACCAAGAAGCCGCATAGCGTGACTTCCATACTAGGCAATTTGAACAACGGAGCTTTGGCATTGGATTGACAATCTAGGCTTCAAGTTCAAACCACCTGTATCCTATGTGTGCCGTAAATAGAGACACCGTGCATATGGGAGTCATGTCCTTGGATGTTACATGCTAGTTATGATGAACACATCCAAACTTGGAGGTGTTTTAGAGACAATCAATAGGGGACTGTCGAAATCGTGCCCACATCACTTATGGGGAATGCACTAAAGACTTGTGGCGGAGAGAGACCATAAGGCAACAAGGGCGTTGCCTCTATCAAGTGGTGGAGAATGTCACAATTCGTGATCCTGTGATTAGTCTAGCTTGATGGAGGGTTCGAACAAGCAGCGCACACTATTGCCACACAATGCCCAGGGACACCAATTAGGCTTAAGGCAACATCACTTGTGTGTCCATCGACAACTAACATCAGGTCACCATCAATTGGGGGTTTCCAAATGCCACACACATGTAACTCGAGAGCCATGAGCCATTAGGCCACACTTCATCAAGCCATAAATACACAAGGAGCCCAACTACAAGAAGATTGCTAGTATAAAAAAAGTTTGATTCGGGCTAGAAATCTTGCTTATAGATATCTATATTATTATTATTATTATTATTATTATTATTATTATTTTACTTGCACTAGGAATTTAGGTTTCTAGTGTTCTACTTAAGGATAAAACATTTATTTTGTTTAAATTTCTTGTTAACTACTCTAGTTGTATTAGACAACAGAAGTAGAGTTGCTTTAGGATTGAGAAAAACTATATTATAAATAGCACCTTTAAGCATTAAGGAAAGGCAATAGAGTCAAATTGCCCAAAAAGCCATATTCAAGCATTCAAAGAATTTAGTTTATTTGCTTAGGATCTTAAGTATTTGTTTTTCTCTTAGAAAAACACAATTATTTTTCCCCAAAGTCTTTTCTTCAAATTTAGTTATTTTTTCTTCCGTAGCATTTTTACACAAATATTTAAGGTTAGGTTTGCTTAGATAGCATTTGGTAGGAGTAAAGTAAGAGTACACTCCTTGCAATGTAACCAATTAAATTACATTGTAATGTTAGTTTTACAACAAACCACTGCAATGTAAGATTATATTGTAATCACATTACAGCCAATGGATGTAATGTGATTGTAATCCAAACCAATGCAATCAGATTGAATTGTATTCTATAATGTTTTTAAAGACAATTTTACTCTTCAACTTTGTTCCTTTGTTAAAGATGTTTTACAATGTTATAATTTGTTTTTTTTATATAGATTTTGAAAAAAATATCTTTGTTACTCTCAGTAGCATTTCATTGTCAATAAAATTTATATTGTCTTTTAAAGGAAGCAAAATTAAAATAAAATATATAATATACAAAATTATATTAAGAAATGAAAATACAATATATGATATTAAAAATATATTTTAGAAATGATATTATATAAAAATAAACAATAAAAAAATACAAGTATACTAAACTTGTATATTAATAAATATGGGTAATTTTGAAAATTGACATTACATTTCGAACAAAGTACTTGTAAACCAAACGTTACAATGTTATCTTCTTTGCATTTTAAACATTATTTTGTTTATATACTAAATATTACAATGTTATCTTCTTTGCAATCACATTGTTTGTAATCACATTACTTACATTCATATTACTTGTAGTCACATTATATTGTAAGGTACCAAACGCTACCTAAATATTTCTATACACAAGTTTAAATGCTGCATAAAGTTTCGCTAAAGTTTCAAGCCCGTGATAGGTGATATCAGAGCAAGCTTCAATTCAAGAGATTGGTACTGTTAGTCGAACCCTAAAAGCTAATTTGATCAACGGGGAGAGTAGGGGCTGACAAACCCCAAAGAGACAAAGGAAATTTAGGAAGCCTTGAGTTTTAGCGAAAATTGATTATGGGTAAGGTTCAACAACTTTGAGGCCAAAGGAGAAGAAGAAATTTATTTAGAATCAAAATCGTGAAATTTAGGAAAAGAAGAAGAGCTTTGAAAGGAGATAACATTAATTGGTGACCAAACCACATTATGTTTGAACACCTTGGTTTAACATAGTGTGAACACTGCAAACATGGAAATTGCGCACACATGTGCCATAGAGCATTACGAGCCTAAGGATATTTTGCAAGCACTGGGTAATCATGTATCTCACCTTGAAACAATTATCAACCATGAGGTGTGGAGCTACTTCGAATACTTCGAAGACAGCATTGATCAATTGGAGTTTAATAGTGATGAGCTTCCCAAGGAATGATGTAACATGGTGAACAACTTAATTCGCCATGATATGGGGCAAGATGAATTAATGGCAACAATGCAGTAGCAACAGTGGCAATTGATGGAGGTTGTTAGAGGTCTCAAACACAAAATTGTGCATATAGCTAACAAATACTAAGAAGCTGCACAACGTGGCTTTTAAACTAGGCAATTCAAACAACAAAGCTGTGGCGTTGGATTGACGATCAGGCATCAAGTTCAAACCTCTTATATCTTATGTGTGCCATAAACAAAGACACCATGCACATGGGAGCCATGTACTTAGACATCATAGACCAACTGCAAGGTAGACACCCATAAGCCAAAACACATACAAACTTGAAGTTATTTTGTAAATAGCCAATGGAAGGTTGCCTCAATTGTGCCCACGAGACTTGTGAAGAACCTATTGAAGACTTGTGGTGGAGAAAGACTACAAGGCAATAAGGGTGTTGCCTAGATCAAGTAAGGAGAATGTCATGGTCTGTGATCCCGTGATTAGTCCAGCTTGATGGAGGACTAGAACTAGTAGCACACACTTGTGACACACAGTGCCTAAGGAAATAAATTGGGCCTGTGACAACATCACTTGAAGGTCCATCGGCAATTAGCATTAGGTCACCATTGATTAAGGGTTTCCAAACGCCCCACACATGTACAGACTCGAGAGCCATGAGCCATTGGATCACACTTTATTAGGCCAGAGATACACAAAGAGCCCAACTAAAAATGGATTATTCGCATAAAAGAGTTTGATAAAGGCTAGAATTCTTGTGTGTAGATATCTACATATTATTATTATTATTATTATTATTATTTATTTTACTTACACTATGACTTTAGGCTAAAGGTGTTCTACTTAGGAATAGAACATTTATTGTATTTAAATATCTTGTTAACTACTTTAATTGTACTAGACAAGAAGTAGAATTGCTTTAGGATTAAGAAAAGTTATATTATAAATAGCACCCTTGGACTTTAGGAAAAGGGAATAGAGTCTAATTGCCCAAATCATCATATTCAAGCATTCAAGTAATTTAGGTATTTGTTTTTATCTTAAGAATTCCCAAACTCTTTTTTTCAAGTTTAATTTTTTTCTTCAAGTTAATTTTTTTTTTACTTCCGTAACATTATTACTCAAATAGAAACTACTTCCTTACTTATGAACGATATGTAGGTATCTGTTTTCCTCGTATGGTTAGATAAATAAAGTATTCTTTCTTAAAAAAAAGTTTTCATATTTAATTTTACTTTCAATTTTAGATTTAATCATATAATTTGCACCATGTATATTGTAGGTTACAAATTATCGGAAAAATAAAATCTACTAGTAAATTTTATTCTATAAAATTGCATTGATAAAGTAATATATAATTACCTATACATATTATGGACAGATTGTTTAACACATCAAGAATAATTAATTATACTTATTTAAAATTTATAATATAGGAAAATTGCTACTAATCAACGGAAAGTATATAGTATACTTTTTCTGTCAACAATAAAATGGAGAGATCTTATGAAAAGAATATCGCTTCATATAATTTTAAAAGGAAATTGGCAATTTCTTTTGAAAAGAAAAAAGAAAACGAAGAGCATGTGATGATTTTGTTCGGTTCCTTCTTTTTCTTATTGCACAATCCGTAATCGTATTTCTCCTTTTAAGTGGGGTTCCCTACTTCTCTTCTCTTTATTCATTTCATGATGACTGTATATCCTTTATATTCGCCCATTTGTTTTGAAAAATAAAACCCCTTTGATTAATTAATAAAAACGAATAACGATTAGTACAATCTTTACTAATATTTATTTAGAATGAATCCTTTAATTCGTAAAATTATATAAAAATCCATAAATATATAAAATAAAATTAGACTAATAATTTTACATGAAAAAAATCTATCTTATTACTTAAAAAATTGTTTTCCCACTTCTTTTTCTCAGTGATACAGGGTGGGTGTGCCCAAATTCTAGTTTAGCATAAAGCAGATAATGAGCAAATCCTCCATCGTCAAACTCTCATCACTGTCTTCACTAGCCACAATTCTCCCCTTTCTTTCTTTTCCCTCTATAAATTCCTGTCTCCCAACACAACCAAACAAACGCACCAACATTCTCTCTCTCTGGGAAAATAGAGAAAAGAAAGAAAAAATAAACCCCGAAAATGCTTAAGCTCTGGACTTTTCCCTTCCTCTCCTTCCTCTGCTTCTCATCCTTCAGTGTGAGCAAAATTTTTTCTGTTTACAACCTTTACTTATTTGTATCCGTTTTTTGAAATTTATGTAAGACATATTTTTTTCAAAGTTTATTTTCGGACAATGCAGGTTGTTTTCGGCGGTGTCGGTGCTTCCTCAGTGTCGGAAAACCCATTTACTCCAAAAGCCTCGTTGATTCGTTACTGGAACAAGGAGATCCGTAACCAAATCCCCAAAACCCATTTTTTACTCTCCAAAGTATCCCCATTGACTGCAGTCGATTCTGCCAGTTTTTCCAAACTCGCCGCCCAAAACGACCTCGCATCCCGTCTTCCTTCCTTCTGTTCCTCCGCTAAACTCTTTTGCTTCCCCGATTTATCCCCGAGTCTCGAGAAACACCCCAAAGACGCAAACTTCGCCTTCTACACCAACAAGAACTTTACTAATTACGGCACGGATCGACTCGACGGAGTCGACTCTTTTAAGAACTACTCCGAAGGCGGCAACGTTATCGTGGACTCGTTCCGCCGATACAGCCGGGACTCGGCTGGTCACAAGGACCAATTCTCCAATTACGCCAGCGAATCTAACGTCGTCGACCAAAGCTTCAACACCTACGGCGCCGCCGCCACTGGCGGTGGCGGCAACTTCAACAACTACAACCGTGAAGTGAACAACCCCAATCTCCGATTCACTTCATATTCCGACGACTCCAACGGCCGTGGGCAGACATTCACGCTCTACACGGAGAACGCCAACGCAGGGAACGGGCAGTCGTTCTCAAGTTACGGCAAGAAGGGTAACGGCGTTCCTAACGACTTCAGCAGGTACGGGAAAGGAGCCAATGTTGTGGGGTCAGGTTTTTCTGGTTATGGAGAATCAGCCAATGGGGCAAATGACACTTTCACTTCGTACGGGTTTGATTCCAATGTTCCGCAGAATACTTTCAAGAGTTATGGAGATGGAGGCAATGCGGCGGTTGACAGTTTCTCAAGTTATCGAGACCAATCCAATGTGGGTGACGATTCCTTCCAATCTTATGCCAAGAATTCTAATGCGGCGAAAGTTGATTTCAATAACTACGGCCAATCTTTTAACGAAGGTACGGATAAATTCACTGGATATGGCCAAGGAGCCGAAGGTCAGTCCATTGGGTTCAAGATCTATGGAAGAAACAACACTTTTAAGGATTATACTAAAAAGGGTGTTAGTTTCGGTAGATACAACAATGAGAGTTCGGCTGAAACCGCTCAAGTCAGGGCCAGTGTCAATGCTTTGAATAAATGGGTGGAGCCGGGCAAATTCTTCCGGGAAAAGATGTTGAAGAGAGGAACGGTGATGCCAATGCCGGACATTAGGGATAAAATGCCCGAAAGGTCGTTTTTGCCCCGGACTATTGTCTCCAAATTACCGTTCTCGTCCTCCAAGATTGGTGAACTGAAACGGATTTTCCACGCGGGGGATAACTCCACCCTGGAAACCGTAATGATGGACGCTTTGAAAGAGTGCGAGCGAGCACCGAGCGCGGGAGAGACGAAACGGTGCGTCGGATCGGCAGAGGACATGATCGATTTCGCCACCTCTGTCCTGGGCCGTAACGTGGAGGTTCGTACGACGGAAAACGTGAAGGGCTCAAAGCAAAACATTAAGATTGGAACCGTCAGAGGAATCAACAGTGGGAAAGTAACGAAATCAGTTTCTTGTCACCAGAGTTTGTACCCGTATTTACTTTACTATTGCCACTCGGTTCCCAAGGTCCGGGTTTTTGAAGCGGATATGCTGGACCCGAATTCAGGGGAGAAGATAAATCATGGTGTTGCCATCTGTCATTTGGATACATCTGCTTGGAGTTCGGGGCATGGAGCTTTCTTGGCTTTGGGTTCAGGTCCGGGTCGGATCGAGGTTTGTCACTGGATTTTTGAGAATGATATGACTTGGACGATAGCTGATTCCTAAATAGAAAATTTGGGGAGGGTAAATTACTAATTATGGTTAAGAGCCATTGGTTAAGAAAACTTAGCCAGTGGTGGAAATTAAGAATTTTCCATTTTGCTTTCTATTTTTCCCCTTTAATTTAAGAAGTGGAATACGCAAATATGAATATTTATTTTTTGTGATGCCTAATTAATATGGTTAATTTTTTTTGCTGTTACTGTTTATGCTTGTAGTGATAGTAATTGCTAACGTTTGACTATTGGATTGGATTTGTAACTTTTAACAAAAGCTTGTTGTTTCTACAGCCACCGACACGTAAAGGTGCGGAGCCAATTTAATCCTCAACAAGGTTAAACTGTTCATTTTATACCAAACTGATAGAGATTAGAGAAGAGTCATTTAACTTAATACAAAAAGTTAACACAGCATAAAACAAAAATATTATCTACCAAACGCACATACCAACAATCTAAGGCACTCGTGACTTTACTATTTACACTGCTCCAGGAGTCGCCAGATCAATCAAATGGGTCTTCCATTTTCTTTTTAAAGAATATGGAGTCAGAGCTAGCTTAATTTTGGTTTCAAATTTAAACTTCATGGTAGCACGTCATTTTCCAATCAAAAACACTCCCACAGTGATAATGGTGGCCGGGATGGCCAACTGACGTAGTATGATTTATTCAAATAATGAAATGGGCGTCCACACTGCAAATAAGACTGCAACGGAACAGAAGCAGTGTGTTGCCTTAGTAACATAATACATATGTCAATTCTATAATAGTAAATTTAAGTTATTAATATAACATACACTAAAATATTATTAAAAGAAAACAAATCTTAAATTTTGTGAAAATTAAACAAGATGAAAGGATAATTTAAACTCTACGGTGTAATTCATCCTCATATTGTATGGAGACCGATTATGCACTATGAGGGGTAGAGGTTTCTAGTCTTTTCTCTTCTTTGGAGTTAAATTGATTATACAAAAATTTAACATTTTCCTCACCGAATTAGAATATATATATATATATATATATATGTGTGTGTGTGTGTGTGTGTGTCTAATTGTCTATATCATCAACAGTAAATTTAAAAATATTTACTTCAAGAAATTCTGGAATTGAAAGATTATTATCATAGACCTGACTGCATGAGTTGTAGTAATTTTTATTGGAGTAATATATAATGTACACTGAACATTTTTTGAATATTTTAAATTTTTGACTTTAAGAACATTTTTAAAACAATACAATGGATAACATATGTGCTTATATAATTGATCTCCAAATTTTATTCTCTCCGAGAAGCTGTATCCATAAATTTAAAGTGATTATGTTTCGTGTGGGAACAATCGGTACTTTTTCCCCAGTTTTTCTTTGTTTACATAAGGTAATTTTTGCCCCTCAATTCCTTGATAGTATTTTTTTTAATTTTGTTTCAGCTAGAGTTAGCTCCCTTTTGGTAATTTCCTCTTCTTAATTTTTATTTCTTTTTCTTCTTCTCTTTTATCATCATTTTTTCTATATTAATTTAATTATCATAAAAAATAATAATTATGTACTTTACAAGTTTTCAAAATATCTAGAGCAGACTCTATCTTGTTGTTGATCGAACTTCAATTATTAGATTTATCCAAACCTTTATGTAGGGTAGGATGACTGAAGCACCCCAATCTATTCAGAATTTGTAAACATAAACAAACCAAAAATTCTCAAAGAAAAAGAATGTAATGTATGGATTTAATGGGGGACAATCGGGAAGTATTTGTGAGGTACAGGAGAAGCATGAAATGGAGAAAGCCATCAAATGGGAAAATTGTTGTCGGTTTAATACATGTAAGTGCTCGTGGTTGTACAAATAATATAAAGGTAAGTCGAGTATCGTTTTTTACAGAGATTTGAATTTATTTTTATTTAATATTAAATTTATAACAAATTAATCTTATCCAAATACTCGATTTAAATAATTAATTAACTAAATAATTAATGAAACACAAAATGTCACTGAAAGAAAAATTTACACAAAACCTAAGATTATGGTGTCTTTCAAAATTTCGCTTGAATTAAATCATTCTCCTTAACTTAGATTAATGGAATATATGACTAATCTAAAATCCATATTATATATACGTCTCTGTCGAGATCATGCACACATACCTTTTCAAAATCAATCTTATATGTCTGCAAATTAATTAGAAAAAGGTCATTAGGTTTATATTCTAATTTGACTGCCTAAGGCATTTAGGTATATGTTTATTTTAAATACGAAACTATTACTTAACTTCAAAATGAATCAAACAAAGGTTATTCAAAACTATGGTTTATTCTAAACTCCCTCTGTCGAGTTCCATTTAAAGATCTAAGACATTTCTACTAGTGATCAAATAGTGAAAAATAATACATATAGAATTAAAAAATTATGCAATTTCCATTAATACCAATCAAGGAAAAATCAAATATTCAAACTACATAATGAAATAACTCATAATCCTAGAAAACAAAATTAGTTCATCATTGTTTTTACAGCAGACAATTAAATCAAGACAAAATATCATTTCTACAAGCAAAATAACAAGAAAGAAATGAAAAGCAAAGAAATATCAAATTCTCTTTCGATTCTTGATCATTGATTTCTTCTCGTTTCTCTTGTTGAAGAGCCTTTTCTTTTCTCTCAAAAACTATCATTCGTTTCCTCTTTGAACCTCCATTCTTAGCTATTGAAAAAGAATTATTTATAACCTCCAAAAGACCCTAAAAACTCATTTCCCAATTGGTTGCAAATTATTAATTCATTTCAGAGCGTAGTGACCTTGCTCTAGGGGAGCTGCGGCACTCTTGACTTATAAAATTTTTTCTTGCTAGTTTTCTATCCAATGCAATGGCGCTCGTCCTTGGGCATTGCAACACTAGACTCTCGGGTTTTTGCATGGGTACCTTGATGCTTTTCCAGGGCACTTCAGCGTTGGACTTTACACGGTCACGACGCTACCTATCCTTGTACTACCTTAGTGTAGTCTGCTGAAGTGCCTCATCTTGCAACGTGATTTCATCCTACCTTGATGCTGATTTGGGTGAAATGGTAAAGTTGTAGGTTTGCCTCTTAGCTTTCCTATGGTCTAAGAATCACATTGATTGGATCTCTACAGCTCAAGTTATGTCTAAATTACAGCAACATATTCATTGACAACTTACACTTAGTCTCCATTGAAAAATTCATTCTTATTCAACTTTATGGACTTGAAAACTTGCAAACGCAAGGACTAAATTAGCATTGGCCTAAAATAGGACTTCTAACATGAAAATAAACTAAAATTACTTAAATTAAACTAAGTTAACATGCTTTAAACTATTCAATTAAAAACATGAAAATTGTCTAAAATATACTTAAAACACCAGGACTTAGCAACATTTACATCCCAAATTGTGATTAATTAATTCTATATAATAGAATTATCACACCCCTCAAATTTAATATTTTGCTAGTCCTTGAGCAAAAACTAAAATGAAACAACGTAGTTGAAGACATCAACTATGAGATTGCACCAATTCATTGATCACCACTAATTTCCTCATAAATTTTTGTGTCTTCCAAGCTCAAAATCAAACATGTATATTATCAAAGTTCATGTTTCAACCAAGTGCATGCTCATTTTTCAAATGAATTTTTGTGTATGTGTGAAGTTCTTACAGTGAACATTATGCACTTCGGAAAAGATTATGATCATGCAAATCTCAACAAGCTTAGAATTTCATATGTTTGTTTTTCACCTCCCTCTCCGCTAATGTAGGACATCACTTAGCTAAGGATCCTTAGGACTTTTCAGCTGATAATGTTCTGCTAGGTTTAAGGTATGATAAGAGATACATTAAGGCTAAAATCACCCTAACCATATAATTATTCTAAGATCTCCATATATTTATCTTCCTTCACTAATTACATTTTTTTCTTTCCTTTTCACTTTTCATTCATCAAACATAAATTTTTTTATTCATAATTCAACACCCGCCAAACTTGTTTTCTTCAATGTTAATAAAATGAATGCTTCAACCATGGTTGGAAATTTTTCTCAACTCATCCTTTCTACTTTTCCAGCATTTTATTTATATATAAATCCTAAACAATGTACATGCTTAGGAATAAGGGTAATGGAATTTGAAATTTATTTACAAGATAGGATAATTTATTTCTGGTTGACAAAGAAAATGAAAAATTTAGGCTTAAATAGGTGTACTAGAAATAAAATTTGACTATGGTAGTTGGAAAAAGCCTAATTGATCCAAATATGACCTAAGTCATTTTCTAGCCAAGTATAACCTAGGATTTCATCTCAAGGAAGGATCAAACAAATTTAAGATTTTGAACGTAGTTTGCAGATTCACACTCACATATTCATTTTAATGTACATCATGAAATAATATAAGAAAAATAGTGCTCAAATAAGGAAATCACTTTCTAAAATGATGTTATGCATAAGAATTCCACATAATACTACAACAATATTCATGCTTGTTAAGAGTAAAAAGAATAGCATGGCAATTGGTTTTCATCATTAGACTTATAAATCAATTGTTATTGGTGCACAACTTTAGCTTAATATTTCAACACATTCTTAATACTAACATGCAAATGAACTAGTTTAAATAAAAATACGATAAACAAAAGAAAACATAATAATTACCCTTAAACTTAAAGTGAACATTGTCCTCAATGTTCTTAAAAGTAAAGAAAGAGAGTACTCCCTTAAATTGGCAGATGCAATCAATCCTCATCCTCCTTCGTAGCAGCATCATCATCAGCATCGTGGGTGGGATCCTCAGGTAGTGTGGGGAAGGTAGTCATGTCCATGTTGACATGTTCGAGTTATGCTCACATCATTTCTTCAATGGCTTTGAAACACCCAACTTAGTGGTCCTTACAACGCTCAAGCTGCTTCATACGTTGACACATGGAGAGATTCTAAGTAGACTATAGACTATTGTGGTTGAGATGAAACCAATGAGCTTCCTCTAGTAGCAGTTTGCTCACACACGTAGAACTTGTTGATGATCTTATTGTCCAATGGACTCATTGGATGCAACAATTCTTCATTGGGTGACCAAACAACACCAACTTGATGACACAAAGCAGTGATTAAGGATGAATACCACAATTCGTCACGTGGCAACGAAGTTGACATGATAATTTTGTTGAAGATCAATTGCCCAATATCAATGGATTTTCTTGTGACAATTGCATACAAGAGGATCACTTGATCCTTGGTCACATTGCTCAAGTGTTTTACAAGAATTAGGTTGACAGCTAAGAAATGATACCACACCTTGTAGTCATTGTCGATGGCTTTAGCTTTGAACAAAATTGAAAAAACTTTGTGCACTTTCCAGTCAGTACTCAAAATGTTTATGGACCCTAAAACTTTATACAAATCGGCATCACCATTCACAAATTGACTATACTCATCATTCTTAACGTTAGGTGTATTGTAAAATTGATTAGTAGTGTAGGAATCGAAAAGTACCTGATGTCCACGAATAAAGGCTCGCCTATTTATTGGTATAGAATTCTCAAACCACAAGCATTACTGCAACCTCTGGTTAGGCGTAAAATTTCTCCCATTGCCTGCATAGATAATATTGTACATGTTAGGATGAGGTGCTCTCCAGACATCGATGCCATGTTTTGGAACTGGAACTTTGTGCAATAGGGACTAAGTATGATGCTTTTCAGCTTCAATTGAAATAAATTTACGACGATCAAAATTATGCTCATTTCCACTACCAAGTGTCCACTTTTTTGGTGCTATTATGATAATCTGAATACCCAAGCAACAAACAACACACTCTTGACCACAACTAGTGAGTATACATTATAATTAAACAATCTAAAATAATTTATACTAACTATTCAACTCCACAATAATAAGAATAACACTAATTCCATATACATCCAATTTAAATTCTAATTGTAGAAAATTAGATTTATTTAGTATACCCATTATTCAAAAATTCTAATCTAAGCACAAAACTCAGAAATTGATGACATGCATATATTACATTATCAAATTTAGCATAAGCCTATCAATTCTAAGCAAAACCCATCTTCAAAATGTAATCTAACCATAAAAATAAGTAGAGAAAGAAAGAAAGAAGAGCACTTACCATAGTTTCCTACTTTCACTTGTTTGCTCTAAAATCTCTAAAATGCTCTAAAATCTTCAAAACTTAAAGTTGGATGCAAAATAATTGGTGTTTGGAAGAGATTTTGTAGTGGGTAAGTAAAAAGGGAGTGAAAATTTTCAAGTGAGGTTGAGAGAGAGTGAAAAATGTTGCTTAGCATTTCAAATTAAGGGGAAAAAAGGGTATATATAGGGCCATGGGCTCGACATGACGTTGCGACGCCCTACGGCCATGACTTGTGAAATTTTTGGTTCTGGGGCACTGCAGCACCTCAGCTTGAGGTTCCACTATGAAACCCGAGAGATGTTTCAATGTCGCAGCCTTCCATGGCTAGCATCGCAATGTTGGCAACCTCTTTTATTTTTTTAATAGACCAATTATTAGTTTTATTTACATACAAAAAGAAAATAAAATTAAATAGTTAGTAGTATGAAAGATAAAATTAAAAATGAATTACTAACAAAAATAAGTGAATAATTAAAAATTTCTTAAGCAAAAAACAAAAAACTTGGGTTGTATCCCAAGCAGTGCTTTCTTTAACGCCTTTAGCTAGACTCTAGTTTTAGCTCAACTGGGTTCAAAAAGACTAATGGAAAAGTGTTGGCAATCTATGTCACCCCCCAATAGTGGTTTAATCGATGCCCGTTCACCTTAAACTTTGCATTGATTGTGCTATCCACTAGTTCCACGACACCATATGGAAACACTCTTAAAATGAGAAACGGTCTTGACCACCTTGACTTCAATTTTCCAAGAAACAACTTTAAATGAGAATTGAACAACAACACATGCTGACCTAGCTCAAAAATGTTGTTCAACAATCTTATTGTCATGCCTTCTTTTTGTTTTCTCTTTGTAAATTCTGGAATTCTCACAAGCATCCAACTATATTTCATCCATCTCATTTAATTACAGCAATCATTTTTCACTCGTAGCCGTATTAACTACAAAGCACTTATCATAATCATTAGCATATTTTAAAGATTTAGATGCATTAAAGGTTACCTCTTATTCTTGGACTCTCAAGGTAAGTTTTCTTTTCTCTACATCTATGAGTGCTCTAGTGGTATGCAAGAATGATCTCCTTAAAATGATTGAAACTTTTCTATGTTCCTCCATATCAAGTACCATAAAATCAGCTGGAAAGATGAACTTGTCCACTTTTACTAATACATCTTTTACAATGCCATGAGGATACGTAATAGTGCGGTCTGCGAGTTGTAAAGTCACTATGGTGGGCTTGATTTCTCCCAAACCTAGTTTCTTGTAAATAATTAGTGGCATTAGGTTGATACTAGCTCCGAAATTATCAATGCCTTAGCAAAATAGTATGCGTCAATGGTGCACGGTATTGTAAAGCTACTAGGATCCTTGTGTTTTGGCTGAAGCTTGTTCTGTATGACAACACTACATTCCTTAGTGAATGCCATAGTCTCGAACTTACCTAGTCATCTTTTCTTTGACAATATCTCTTTCATAAACTTAACATATAAAGGCATTTGCTCTAAAGCTTCTACTAATGGTATGTTGATGTGTAACTTCTTGAAAACCTTTAAAAATTTCTAAAATTAATTCTATTATTGCCAATTTCTGAATCTTTGAGGAAAGAGTGGTGGTGGTATGACTGTCATTTCCTTCTCTACATTACACTTGTTAGGAGTAACTATCTATGTCTCATTTTGAGCTTCATTCTCCACTTGTTTAGCTTGTTTGGTATTACTTTCAATCTCTTTTCCATTTCTCAAGGTGATGGCCTTAACTTGCTCTTTACCTTTCCTTTTCAGATTTGTCTTAGTGTCACTGGGTAATGTCCCTTAAGCTCTATTGTTAATTGTGCTTGCTAACTTCCTAACTTGCGTCTCAATATTTCTTAATGATGCTGCTTGACTATTGATAAGAGAGTTTGTCTTGGCCACATATTGCATGATTAACCCCTCAATGGATGGCCTCTTATTAAGAATAAGGGCTCTTGCTTGCTGTTGAAAACCAAGCTATATGTTTGGTCTCAAACTTGATGCTCTCTGGTTGTTTCCCCATGAGAAGTTTGAATGGTTTCTCCATTCAATATTATATGTGTTGGAGAAGGGGTTGTTTTGCTGTTTGTTTCCAATGAACTAAATCATTTCCACATTGTTACTTGGACACTAGTCACTAGCGTGTCCATCTCCACAATTGTCACAAACTACAAAAGGCCTTTGAATAGGATTAGTATTAAAAGAATCAAACTTTTTGGTTAAAATAGCTACTTATGCAATTAATGCTGTGATGGCATCAATCTAATGAACTCCGGTTACTCTCTTAAGTGTGGATTGTTCTGATGGTCATTGATAATTGTTTGATGTCGTTTCTTTCAATAGATTATATGCCTCATCGGTAGTCTTTTCTATAAGAGATCATCTTTCAGCTGCATCAATTATATCTTGAACTTGGCTGCGCGATCCATTGTAAAACATTTGAACTTGAAGCCACATCTAGAGACCATGATGTGGGCAACACTTAAGTAAGTCTTTGTATCTATCCTAAGCTTTATATAGCGTCTCACCATTAAACTGTATGGATAAAGTTATATTGTTCCTCATTTTGTCTGTCTTTACTGAAAAGAAGTATTTTGCAAAGAACTTTCGAGCAAGGTCATCCCATGTTGTGATTCAGCCTGTGGGTAATGAATTCAACTACACCTTTGCTTTATCCCTCAATGAAAATGAAAATAATCTTAATCGAATAGCATCATTTGTGACCTTAATGTGCTTAAATATGTCACATATTTCTAGAAAATTATATATATGAGCATTTGGGTCATCATTCAGAAGACCTCAAAACTGAACTGATGTTTGGATCATGCTAATGATGGCTGACTTGATCTCAAAATTATTTGCTTGAATGGTTAACCTTCTAATGCTTGATGGGATACCTTATACTAGAGGAACAACATAGTCCCTTAATGAACAATTCTCTTTAACTACCCTCTCTTGTACTTGCTGCTCGCTTGGTTGTTCATCCATTGTACTAGAAGAATTAGATCTTATATCATTGTCTTGGACCAAGCTTTTTCTTTTCTTTTGTGTTTTTCAAAACTTATATTATGTATATAAGAATTAGAATCTTATATAATTGCTCATACTTATGGTGTCTTTCAAAACTTCGTTTGCATTATATCATTGTCCTTAACTTAGATTAATGGAATACATAGTTAACCTAGAATCTATATTATGTATATGTCTCTATCAAGATCATGCACATATACCTTTTCAAATTTAATCCCATGTGTCTGTGGAAATTTATTAGAAAAAGTTAATTAGGTTCCTGTTCTAATTTGGCTACCTAAGGTATTTAGGCAAATGTCTATCCTAAACACGAAACTATACCTAACTTTGAAGTGAAACAAATAAAGGCTATTCAAAACTATGGTCTATTCTAAACTTTCTTCATTGAGTTACATTTAGGGTCCCTAGACATTTCAACTAGTGATCAAGCAGCGAAAAACAATATGTATAGAATTGAATAAACCATGCAATTTTTATTAATACCAAGTAAGGAAAAATCAAATATTCAAATTATATAATGAAATAACCCATAATCCTAGAAAATAAAATTAGTTTATTATTAGTTTTACAGTAGACATAATTAAATCAAGAGAAAAGACCATTTCTATAGCAAAATAACAAGAAACAAATGAAGAGTAAAGAAATATCAAATTCTTTTTTGATTCTTAATCCTCGATTCATTTGATTTGTTCTCGCTTTTCTTGTTAAAGAGCCTTTTCTTTTCTCTCAAAAACTACCAGTTGTTGCCTCTCTAAACCTCCATTCGCAGTTGCTAAAAAAAATCTATTTATAGCCTCTAAAAAACCCTAAAAACTCAATTCCTGATTCGTTGCAAACTATTAATCTATGTCAGAGTGTTGTGGCCCTGCTCCAAGGGCGCTATGGTGCACCTGACTTATAAATTTTTTTTGCTGGTTTTCTATCCAGTGCCATGGCGTTCCTCCTTGGGTGTTGTGACGCTGGACTCTCAAGTGTTTGGATGGATGCCATGATGTTTCTCCTAGATGCTGTGGTGATGGGCTCTACACCGCTATGATGTTGCTTGTTCTTGCACTGCCTTGGTGTAGTTTGCTACAATACATCATATTGCAACATGATTTTCTCTTGCCTCAAAGCTGATTTGGGTAAAAGGGTAAACATATAAGTTGTAGGTCTACTTATTAGCTTTCCTATGGTCTAAGGATCACATTGATTGGATCTTTATAGCTTGAGTTATAGCTGAATTACCGCAACATGTTCCGTGACAATCTACACTTAGTCACTATTGCATAATGCATACTTATTCAACTTTATATACTTGAAAACCCACAAACACAAGGAATAAATCAGCATTGGCCTACAATAGGACCTTCAACATAAAAATAAACTAAAATTATTTGAACAAAACTAAATTAACATAATTTAAACTATTCAACTTAAAACATAAAAATTGTCTAAAATCTACTTAAAACACAAGGACTTCGCTACATTTACATTTTAAAAAGTAGCTAAATAACTCTATATAATAGAGTTATTAGAAACCACCAATGGATTGATGGCAAAAGACTCATGTGCGAGGAGCAAAACCTATATGGAATGACACTTTTAGTGGAAGAAGTAACATAGAGAGAAATCAACTTAACCAAAAAACCAATCAGGGGGTTAATGAACATTCCTTTAAGGACGTACTTGGTGACAAAGTGGTTGAAACAGGAAGATAGGGAGGAAAGCAAAAGCCATAAGTCTATGATGGTGAAAAAAAATACCCCTAGGTGGAGTAGGTTCATAAGGGAATGATAACAAGTGAAAGCAAAGCGGTCAAACCTGAAGGTGAAGAGGTTCAGAAGCAAGCACAAAAATAGTAGTTGTCAACATGACAATACAAGATGAGGAAATGGCTTGGGTTCGATGTAGAGCAATGGGAAAATTAAAAACTAAAGTCTCTTGCAATGCCATTCAAACTGAGTGAGTGAATTAAGGGATAGCAACATCGGTAAGAGTATTAAAAGGTTGTTGGTTGTGCTAACATTCGAAGAACAGAGGCCAATGAAGGTCGTGCTTGAGTGTTACATGGAATTGTTGGAAGCTTAGTTTAAATTGATCATTCTTGTGACTTCTACAAACTAGCAAAAAGAAATAGGGGTATGGGTTAAACTATGTGAAATTCTATTAAAATTCTGGAACATTAACACTTTTAGAGCAATAGGAAATTGTTAAGGTAAATTTGTGGGAGTTGATGGAAGTACCTATAAAATGGAGAGGTTTGACCAGTTGTGCATGTTGGTCTCTGTTAGGAGCAGGTTGTCATCCCATCCATGGCCCTGGTCGAAGCCGAAGGTAAGCATTATAGGATCGTGGTCAACCTGATTAAAGTTGAAGGAAACTGTAACAAGGAATGCTTTGAAAAAAGAAAGGAAATTACCCATGAAGGAAAGGAAACAAAGGAACAACAGTGGAGCCATGGTGGCAATGGCGGCTATGAGAGAGAAGAGAAGATGGAGCTTATGGACGAGATATGTGAGTCAGAAAGTTACATGAGGATAAGTGAAAGTTAGAGCAAAAAAGAGAGAATGATAGGCATTTTGAATTAAAGCAGAGACATGGTGCTTGCAAAGAGTACACCATTGAAAAATATTTAGATCAGATTTTTTCAAAGCCAATAGTTTATATGCTTCAAAAGTCATTGTGCGATTCGATCAAAAGTGACAAAGGAGATGTGAGGCATATAGAAAGGGAGGCAGTGGAATGATGAAAATGAAAGGTCCTAGCCCTAGGTCAGAATAAAAGAGAAGAATAGGAGATCTAGGTATAGAGAGAGAAAGCTTAAAGTCATGAGGTAGAAGAATTAAGTAATGCTTGACAGAAAGGAAATAGGGTTAGTGAATGGGACTGTGGTTCATGAAGTTAAGCCAAAGAGAGGATTGGATCTTAATTGTGATAGCTCAGTGGAAAGGGACAAGAAAGTGGGCCGAAAATGCTTAATGGGAAAGGAAATTAGAGCTCAATACTTCAAAGCTCAATAATGAGGAAATATAACGAACTAGGGTTAAAAGATGGGAGCCTAAATAAAGCTGAGAACAATTGCAATTCAAAGAAAATTATGAGCTGAATTTGGGCCTTTAAAAAAAATAAAGACTACGAGTCGTAAGGGACATTTGAAAGAATTGAGTGGAGAAAAATCAGGGGAGATGAACAATTCCCAAAAAAGGGAAAAAAAGAGGCGATGAACGTCCAAGAAGAGGAGAGGAATTTGAGAATAAAGAACGATGAGACCAAAGTTAAGAAAATTGGAAACAATAGGGAGGAAGAAGATAAGTGTGGTTGGGAATCGATGCAAGATGAAGAAAAAGAGGTAAGAATAGGGAGAAAAATTGAAGGGATGAGAAGTGAGCAATTTGAGGAGAAGTAAAAGGGAGAGGAGAAATATTCACTTGATATGAAAAGTGGCAAAAGGAGTATCAGCAAAGGCTAAAAAAGTGGTCTGTTTACTTCGAGGTTAGGATCGAGTTTCAAAAGCTGAGAGAATGAAGCTTTTAAAAGTTATAGTCAGGAAAACCAGAATAAGATTGGAGGTGATGATAGGGAAGTAGGTTTAGTTCCAAACATTGATATTAGGAAGAGAAGTTCGATTTTAGTAAGTGAAGTGGAGGAAATTTGAGAACTCAGTAAAAAGTTGGGAGTAAACTTCATATGAGAGAAAGATGAGGTGATTCAAAGGCTGGTGGAACTTGAAGCTACAGATGTATAGGTGAGATAGAGAAGTCTTCATCAGCATCGTCGTGATGGAATTAGGGTGCCTGATTAAATTGTGTTCAAAGGCCTTAGTTGCAGTATAAGAGGTGAATATTCTTTAGACTTTATTGTGATAGAAGTTAGTTAGATTTTGTAATTCATGACTATTTTAAGACGTAATGGCATGAATTAGAATGTTTGTATCATGGTTATAGTGTAATCCTAGAAGTCTTTTAAAGTTGAAAAGATTAGTCCTTTTTGTTTAGGGAACTCACTGTTGAGGTAGACCCACCATTATCTGTTTGAGTGGTGGAATCCTTTTGTAATTGTTTTGTTATCTTTATCCATTGGTTGATTTGATATACTAGTACAAGTCTTTTATCTCTCAAGGTCAGGACTTGTTATGGCATTCAAGCTATGTTGAGCTAATAAGCTTGCTTTTCAAAAAAAAAACACTTGATGAGTAAAGGATTAGTTGATAGTGAAATGTAGATTTGCACATTTCTAATTATTTTATCTCCAATGTAAAAAAATTATATATAGGAACTCAAGCACTATCTGTATCTTGTAGTCATGTACAATGGGGTAAGTATGCATACGCATTCAAGATTTTATAAGAAATTTTAATAAAAATAATCATCCATTTTTTTTAAAAAAGTTAAAATTAAAAAGAGAATAAATTACAAGGCAATATCTTGAGAAGAGGTGTCTATATATTTGGTCGGGTCAATTCGAGTTTGAACATAGCCTCCATTTGATTATTTTAATATTCAAAAATAAAATATATTATTTTTATATTACTATTTTAATATATTTTAAAATTAAAATTAAATAAAATGCATTATTTGTAAGTATAATAATCTAATCGGGTTAGGTTGGGCTGAGTTAAATCTAAAAAGTCATGCCCAAGCCTGACGTAAGTGAGGTTAAGCTCACAGATTTGGATTGGTAAGCTTGACCCTTGGACACCTCATGACCTTTTTTTCTTTTAACCTTTTTTCCTTTGCTTAATTATCATATTTTGATGCTTTGTGGATCAATTTTATCACTCACCTTTAAGGATGTAAACGAGTAGGGTACTCGCCATTTTGACTATACCGAACCCAACACTGTCTAGATATCAAGTACTCGAATCTTATTAAAAATTGATTAAAATTGTAAAATACTATACAAAACTGAACCCAATTTCTATATGGATATCTATGAATAACTTGAATTTGTTAAATACCTGATTATACAAGTCAAATTATTTACATACGGATACTTGTTTAATAACCAGGACTCGAAACCTAAAAAAAAAATTTTACATTAAATCATATTATAATAAACTTTAATATATAAACTATAAATATTACACAGAATATTTTATATATAAATTATATATAGTATATCAAATATATACAAACAATATATATTATATAATGACATTAATATAATTGAGTTTAAGTTTAGGGTATTTTTAAGGTAATACTCGAAATATACTCAAATTCGAGTTGGGTGTTAAAAGTTCTATCCGAATCTGCCACATAATTGATTACAAGGTATTTGAATCTTATGTTATTGGGTTGAATAGCAATGAATACCTGAATAACAACTATCCATTTACATCCTTACTAACCCTCCACACAAGTTTTGCATTTGATAACAATGCAGGCTAATTTAGCTAGCAAGCGCTAGAAAAGTCACAACCACTTGGAGGCTAGAAGATCCATTTACCTGGAGAGCTTACCCATGACTAGTTCATTAGAAGTCAAGAATTGACCAATATAGTAGCTTATTTCTCTAAAAAACCTCTCAATTATGCAAATTTAACTTAACAAGGCTATTGGTTCAAGAGCCTTCTTCCAAGAATATGACTCTATAAGATTATACCATTTTCTTTTCAAGCACTACAACAAAAGAAACTTTTGGTGTGACCTACCCAACCTATCGCTATAAGATCTTTCATTAATTATATATAATGAAAGATAATAAAAAGTGTAAGTACCAAATTTTACACCTTAAATTAATAATTGAAAATCCAATTTTTTCCTTGAACTGAAGTGAAGTGTTTTGTTAAGAATCAAATGTAAAGGCCAATCAAAATCTTTAACCACAAGTATTAATATTTTTGAGTTTTAAGTTAAATTAAAATTCAAAAACTTATTTGATTAAAATTCTAATTTTTGTATAGCACTGTAGTTGTGTAGTTTTAAACTTTATGTTCTATATTGAGTCTTAACCCTATTATATTTTAGACTTTTGTATCATAAAAATAGGTTTCTAGGCTTCAGAAGGTAAGTGTTGCCTTTGTATTATAAAAATAACAATTGGAAAGGTTAAGAATGATGTTATGTCACTCTTCATAGAGTTCTACAAATCTGGATGTTTGGATAAAAGAATTAATTCTTCCTTTATATCGTTGGACAGCAACTTAATCTAGAGAACCTTTATGACTATCGACCCATTAGTCTTATGGGTAGACTTTACAAGTAGGTTGCGAAAGTTCTTGCAAACAAACTTAGGTAGGTTCTTTCATGTGTTATTAGACATAATCAATTTGCTTTTACAAAGGGGCATCAAATTTATAACTGTGCCCTTGAGGCTGATGGGGTTATTAACATGTTAAAAAAGGATGATCAGGGTGGTGTGATTCTTAAAATCGACTTTGAAAGGCCTTCAACAACATGGATTAGGACTTTCTTGATCTAATTTTTTATAAAATGGTGTTCAGTTTAGATGGCACAAGTGGATAAACTCCTATAACTTTACTACCTTTGTGTTTGTCCTTGTCAGTGGAACAACAACAAGGCTGTTTCTATAGGGTTGTTGGCTCTCCCATTTCTTATTCAATATGGCTGTGGAAGCCTTTAGTTCCATGTTGAACAAGACCGTTTCTTTAGGGTTCTATTGTAGTATGGGTGTGGGGAGAAACAGTTTGGTGGTTTCCCACCTTTAATTTGTAGATGACATTATATTTTTTTTGCGAGTTGGTGTGAAATCCCAAATCTACAAATAGAGGCACAAAAGTAGGAGATTGAACCCAAGGGTAAATATGGTCATTCATTGATGGGTTTTCTTTTTATCAAATACTATACACCAATTTTTTTTTTTTTGAAGGAAATATTACCTAGATAAGTTTTTGGAAGTTTCAAGAAATTTTTCTTCCCTTTCTATATGTGCCAAGACCAAACTTTGCATCAAAATATATAAATAATGTATTATTTTACTGAAAGTAAAACAGTGTATTATTTTGATAAAAATAAAATAATATATTATTTTAATGAAAGTAAAATAATTTATTTTTTGGATGAAAAGAAAGCTTGCTGGAAACTTGACTTCTTTTTAAAAATATTTCTGAGCTTCTTTAAGAAGCTTTGCCTTTCTTCCTTTTCTCACATTGGCCGGTCCCTACACTTTTCATTTTCTTTTCATTTTTGCATAGGGTGAACTCCCCTGTCATCTCCAAAATTCTGTGTTTTTCTACTTTGCTCTTCATTTTTCTTTGTTTCATCACATTGTCTCAACTTTAATCTTTTTCTCTTCTTCGTTTTTATTTGTCAAAGACCATGAGCATGTGTCCTTCAATTTCAAAACTAAATTAAGGTGAAAAATTGAAACTCTAAATTTTGTTATTCAAGGGTTTTACATTCAAGATCATTTTTCCTAGATCAAAATTTTCTTGTTTTTTGTTATTTTGTTAGGAGTTGATTTCAATTTTTCTATTTTCAAAACTCATCAAGGTAAGACTTCCAAAAACACTCAAGTGATTAAAATGGTTATTGGATTTGAGACGAACATTAGAGAAAACTTAGGTTTAAGGATGGGATAGATGGAAATTGTAAAGTAATAAATAATATTTTTTTTTCAATTTAAAAGAATGTATGTGAAAGAAAGCTTTCAAGAAAACCTAAGTTGTTGAAACAGGTGTGAAAAATATGAGGATAGGAAATGGAAAACCTAAACCTAGAGGAAAGATTGTTAAAGGTTGTTAAATGATTTATCTAAATCTTTAGTGTTGAAATAAATGATAGATTCTTTTATTGTGTTGGTTGTATGTGTTAGGCTCTCTTGAAGCTCCAAGATCAACTAGCTAAAGGAGTTTGGTTAAGTGGTCTAGCTTGGATTTGGTGACATATAAAGTGAGGGATATGCATTTAAATTGTTTTTGATAAATGCATACAATGTTTTTGATGATGCTATGATCAATGCTTTAAAATATGTGCATAGGAAATGAGCCTCTTGTATTGTATGTTTTACCTTCAATTATGTTGATTTTAGAAGTATTATTAACTAGGTTGAGAGTTATTAAATGTTGACAGTGTATAAGGTGCTATGATCGATTTGTTATATGAAATATTATGCATAGTATGATTATACTCTCTTTGCTAATGTTAGACATGGAACTTTTTAGGAAAAATGTTTTTAATGTGAAGCACCTAAGTGAGGACCTAGGATAGTAGCAATTCTGCTAACTATTGTGCATAATAGGACTACTCTGGCTAGCAAGGGAAAGTGGGGTAAATGCTGTTAGTCTTGTGCCCAGAGGATGGCATAAACGATATGGAAGTCTGTAGGTTAGAATGCATTGATTATATGGGTTGGCCACCCATCATGTGTGATATGTTTGCATTTTGTGCTTCTCAAGTTACTCCACTAGTGTATTAAATTTTGATCATGATGCTTGGACTATTTGATATTTTTTGCAAGCTTTTCACTATTTTAAAGTTATATGAATGCATTGAAATTTGAAATATTTACTATGTTATATGATTATATTAAGTGTGGTAAAGTTTTGAAATGAGAAAAGCATTAAAATTTATAGATTTTGAATGAAGTCTCAAGACTAGTTTCTTTTGTATCGATACTTATCCATTGTTTTCAATAAAAATGGTTCTTTTTCATGTGATTTGAGGTAAGGATTTTGGTTTT